TGTGTGCTTGACTTTATAAGGACTCTTGAGAGGCTTCCTTTTTCCTCACATCATTTTCACTGTCTCTGCTCCACTGCTTGGAGGTTCAAACAATTTATCATCTGAATTTAAGAACAACAGAAAATACCTGCTGTTCTGCCTTTGTCTCATTTGATAGGCATGCAGCATTATCCCAATAGGAGTTGGAGATGATAAAACACCAAGTGAGATAGGAGGCAGACTGAAATGGTTATATTGTCATTAAACTTACAGCACCCTTGGCTGTTATGATGTATTTGTGCTATGTTGTAAGCCTCAAATGAATAATTTGAAAGTAAATGAATAAAAATAGTACTATAGGTTAGAGAGCTGTTTGTGACCCCAGATGCTATGGATTTAGAAGCTTTCACTATTCCTCTTAAAACTCTGTGTGTGTGTGTGTGTGTGTGTGAAATAAAAACTTGCTGGATATTTTGGGAGTCTTCTTCCTTCCCTTTGGAGTGAGTTCAGAGCTGTTAGAGTATGGCTTGTGATGGAGAGAACATCCAAAACTATGGCTATACCTTCACACCATAATAGGGACAGATATCACTCTATTCTGGTTGTGCTGAGCATCAGTCAGAAGCCAGATAAATCCAGCTGACAGGGCACCAGCTGGATTCGTGCTGTTTGCAGTAAAACTTCTACGGGTTTTGATGAGCCAGGGGAAGCAGTGTTGTCACATTGCTGACAGCTGAGTGTAGGGCATCACTTTGTTTAACTAGATACATTAGTTACTCCGGAGAACACTTTAAGATGTGTTAGAAGACATTGTCACTGCAGTGCATTGAAAAGTATTAGCTGAGCTTAGCAAGGCATCTGACCGTGATCAAATATTCCTCTTAAATTAAAAGCATGTTTGGGTATTCTGCTCAGCCTGTTCTTAGGTAGCTAATAATGGAGTTGGATCTTCTTGCTCTATTTTGGGCATGTCTTATTGAATCATGTAGGGAATGATGTGACTAATTTGTGAAACAGAAGTCCCTGTGCATCAGCTGTTCACTGTGGTTTTCCTGGGGGGAAGATGGGACTTTTTATATTGAAAGACACTGATGATTCTTTTCAGCATATCAAACAACAAATGTACTCTAGGCTTCTCTATTGAAAAAAAAAAAAGAACATATGGCTTTTATCTGTATTTCCATCATTACATCTGCATAAATCTCACTGATGCTAATGGGACTTGTAGCAACATAGATAAAAGACAGTCACACTGTCAATGAGATACGGAGCAAAACAGAATAAAGCACACCACAGAAGCAGGAGGGTTCATCCCTGTAGGGACAACCTGCAAGCGTGTAAGTCAGCCTGCTTAGCTTTGCATGCCAATAGTTTGTTCTAAGGCTCTCCAGAATGAAGTACCTAACAGTGTCTAATGCAGTGGCTGTGCAAACTTACTAAAAGCTGAACTTTGCTGCTGCCTAGATGGATCTTTTCAGAAAAAAAGAGAGTTTGGTCCTTGCATCCGCTCTGCCGTAGGCGCACGTATGAAGTCTGTGATGGAAGGCACCCGAAGGACAGTCCAAAAGCACCTGGGCTTTGTGGCTGGGAAGGAATAGATGGGACTATGGGGGCTGAGCTACAGCTCTCAATTGTGGGCATAATGGGGGTAAGCGGAAACCAGCAGGCTCACCTTGAAACAGTAGAAAAGGGGTGAGGGGATAGTGCAAAAGGGTCAAAGAGGCAGACTTGTGGGATCCTGTAGACATTAAGAAAGGAAAAGGAAAACCAGCAAGCAGCATGTTTTTAAAAGTACGCAGAAATACATGATAAAGGAGAAAATTAACAGAGAGCAATACATTTAGTCCTCACAACTGATCGCAAATGGCAACGTTATCACTGAGAAGAGGAGGAAGTTCTGGGGGTGGACCCTAGGACAAAGGCGTTAACTGGAGTGGTGTGATACAGAATACAGAATTATTTATTTCAGTGTTTAGCCAACGTGTTGACAAAATTAGCATAGCATAGTTAGCTTTGTTCCTTGAAGGTTTCTGAGAGGATTTTGTCTAAAATACTGTTTGAGTTCTGTCCAAGTCCTATCCACAGACACTTGAAAACTCTACACCAAAAGCAGCAGACACGCTGACACCAGTAGTTGCTTTGACCTAGATTCAAATATTAGGGATTTCATTTCTTATCTTTTATTTTGCTATTTAAAATAGTATAGGTTGTCCTCTTTATTGGTGTAACATACAGATTGAGTGTTCAAAGAAAAGAAAGAAATTAACAACTTGCTATAGAAGGCTTTTTTAAAAGGAAAATTGTGCAAGGAATGGTTTTGATCAGCCCCTTTCCTAGGATCCCACCTGTAAATTCAGTTCTTGCACCTCTCTTGCTCCCCAGGCTCAAGAAACTCAACATTGCCCTTTAACACATGAGTCAGAAAGGCAGGCTTTCTGTAAGATGAAGTGACTGCTGCTGTCTTCAATGTACCATTCTCGTTTTACCTGGGGCTGTGTGATATTACCTGTACTGCCCTACAGCCTCTTTATGGTCTGCCAGCATTTTCTTTCTTGAAAAAATAGCATACCTGGGACATGTGCTTCTGAAAAAGCACTGTGTTGTAATCTGATATATACGGATATTCTTAAGTCCATAGAGAAAAATGGTGAGTTATCTTTTCATCCCAGAATATTCATAGTAAATAGAAAAATAAAAATCTTATCAGTCCTTACTGCCCAAAGGAAGTCCATAAACAGGACTCCTGAGTGTATGCAAATAAAGTTAAGTTCAGAGGGATTGAAGAGGTATAGTTGTAGTATGCATAATTCTGCTTGTACAGAAGCTACCGGGAGTACAATAGAAAAGATTGGCAGTGATTTGAAAGTATCCCTGCTGCTCTGGTAGGAAAGCGACCACACAACTCAAAGTGATTCAGAAGAACTTCGCTCTAAGCACACTAGTTCCTATCTGAGTTGACTGAACAAGGTACGAGTAATTTTCTTACAGGAATGTATATGTGAGCCTTTAAATAAAAAGAACTGCTGTTGACTTCAAAACTGAGTCACCAGCACTGACGAATTCTTGAAGAAGTGAATTTGCCATCATTCAAAACTATTTTAGAATAGTTGTTAATTATTTTAAAAAATAGCATGTGTCGTTTCTATTTCTGCCTATATATTTCCTAATAGATAGTGAAGCAGGACTGAACACCATGGAGACGCTATTTTGTCAGTGTTGCATTGTGACATATTCGTGATCTTTTTTTCTTTGCTTCCTTAACTATTTTTTTAACTTCCTTATTTCATTTCTGTTTGGTGTGTGTGTCCATTTTAGTGATAGTCTAGTTCATCTCATAAGTCATTTAATGTTAACTTGTGAATACTACTCCGAGGCATCTATCAGGCTTAATAACATATTAGCCACCTAGTCAGTGTGCTTCCCAGGTCAGCTATAGAACACAATAAATATATTGGAAGTACTTAGCATAAATCTATTTCATCAAAATGGCAATATAGTTTCTCTTTGTCAAAATACCTACGTGTTGGCTTTCTTTGCTGTTTAAACGCTGTTCTATTTGTTCCTAACTTCCCCTGTTTAACAGCAGACAAATCCAGGGAGCACTGAATGAATCGGATGATCCCGAAACAGGCTGTCTAACTGATAACAAGCCAACTTCTCGACACTTCTATCCTGTCGCCTTGCTGCTTGTCAGCTCACACTTGCTGGTTGTGTGGCTTATTTTAAGTCTTGCTTTGCTACTAGCCAAATATCAATAAACTTCACTTGTGTTCCTTTCTTTTCTACAAACAGCAACAAACTAACTTTAGAAAAAGGAATTATGCTGTAATATTTCTACAATCTCAGACCCCAAGGATTCATCTTTAAGATACAAATATCTGAAATGTACTATGTTTTTGTTATTTTTTTCTGAACTCTAAGAAGTATACTATGCATTGAGTGAATTGATTTGCTCTTTCTGTTCATGGTAAAGCTTTCCCACTGTAATTAGCTCGAAGAAAGCCCACTTACAATGCTGTCACTGTATACAAGAAGGTGTGGAATCCTGAATGCTTGAACCCCTCTTTCCAGAGTAATTAATCTGACAAAAAAAAGTTAAAAATGAATTTGCACAGCACAAACTAACCCCTAGACAAATATTACAGGGTGGTGGTTTGTGAGACTTAGCTTTCATTGTGTTATTTTCATTGCTGATGGATCTTTTTTGTTTAACAAATGATTATTACTTTGCTACAACTAACCCTTTTCTGTCAAGTAACTAAATGGAATAGAGTAAGTTCTGTTTTGTAATGAAATTAACCTGTTTGTAAGTGTTCCTTTAGTTGCTTTTGCTTTCAAGATACTTTTATATTCTTTTTAACAAAGTCCTGTTAATGTCTTGATGCACCACTTTGGCACTTGTGTGACTTTTGTACTGTATGTGAACAAACATCCTTCCTTTATGAAGCAGAGAGTTGGATTGGGCTGTTTGAAAAGCCATTCTCTCCTTTTTTCTTTTTTTTTTTTTTTTTTTTTTTTTTTTTTTTTCCCCTTTTCATTGCAAAGCCGAACATGCGGGAAATGAAGCAGAGATGAAACTTTCCTTCACAAATCTCTAGGGCCAGACTTAATAAAATGCCTTATTCCTAGAATACTAATTTTTAGGGCAATGTGTACTCTTGCACATATAGTAAACAATTTGAAAAAAGTATGAGAAGATTTAAAAGGCAAATATATTTCTGGAATTAGAAAAAAATGTATCATTAGAGTATTTAATTTTTTTTAATTAAACTTTAAACCTCAAGGGCAAATATATTAGGGGGGAAAAAGTCTCATCACCTATTTCTGAGGGCAATAACTGTACTGGGCCTGGCCTTGGATTTAACTTTGTAAGATGTATCATCACTTGTGGAAAACAAAAATGTAGAGTTGAATCTTTGTTATTTTTACTTCAACTGTTGCTGAAACTCTGCAATGAACAAATAAAGCATATTTATTTATTCTGTGTTTCATGAAGTTGTACTTTTTCCCCCTTTCACTAGAGAAGGATGCCGCATAGAGAATGTACTGAAGAATGTCAAATGCAGAAAGTATGCATTCAACATGATACAGCTGATGGCTTTCCCAAAGTACTACAGACCTCCAGAGGGGACATATGGAAAAGCTGACACCTAAGTTTAACAAAAATGTAATCAGGAACATAGATCACGCTAACTAGTGAATATAAAAATCACTGTTTATGACTTACTTATTGGGAATGTGTAACCAGTTGAGGTGTTATTTTTATTAGGTTTTATCATTTTACATTAAAATAACTCCAGTTAGTCATCATGAAATAAAAAGCAATGGACTGAATATTCTCAAAACCAAACATATTCAACTTTTCTTTGTGAAGTTGAAGATTAGTATGACTCATAAGCCAGCTGGAATTAGTTTTTTGGGTCGTTTGATCGAAGATTAAAAAGGGAAACGTCATTTGCTATAGGAACTGAGGTTAGCAATCTGGAAGGTGGCATTCTGACTTGGAGCCAAACCTGAGATTTGATTTAAGGAGTCTCTTCTGCTGGACAGAGTGTTTTCTGGAACCGGCGTAGCACTGAGATCTTGATCACTAATGATTAAATCCTTCACAGAAGTGTTTAGGAAAGATACTAATGTTAATACCTGGGCTAAATATAATTTTGGTAATTACATTTAGCTTCTTTACATAAGCATGGTAACTTCATAATACATTTTTAGTAATTACAGCCTGTAATTTCAGTAATTCCATTCTGATTCCTTGCAGTTCATTTGGATGTATCACTCTTGGCTTTCTGTACCACAGCCAAATACCACTTATTTCACTTTCACATAAATCACACTGAAATTAGGGGGATTAATTCTTCAAGTAAGGTGACCTGAATTTGACCTGTCATGTTCCCGTTTACTGTAAACCCTTAAAACTAAATTTTCTTTAGTGGTAGGGAAAATGAGTTGTATATACAGGAGTTAATGAATCTTTAGGCTATAAAAACATGTATGTTTTTACAGAGCCTAAGATAAATGTTATAATTATGAGTAACCTGCTGTATTAGCACTAGTTAGCCACAGCAGCTGATTTATATCAAATTTGTAATGCTGCATGTAGACACTCAAGGATGAGGAACTATTGGCTTTAAAAATGAATTTTAATGCTTCTGCCAGCATGTGTTAGTCCTGAAATTTGTCTTGCAAAGAATATTTGTGTTTTCTAATTGTATCTATTTATTGCTGCCTTCTGCCTCCCAGAGAGAAATACAATTAAAAAAAAACCAACTATTCACTGGTTACTGACCTTTATGTAATGCATTCATTTTGAGGAAAAAAATGTCTAAAGCAGAAGTGTGCAAATTTTATCCTAATGAAACTGCACTGGGAATTTGAGTATCTGTAGGAAATCGTAACTGCCATGGATAAGTTAATGTTTGCTTGCTCCTATGGAAGTCAAAGAAATCTTGATGCACTGTGAGTTATAATTCGTTGTTTTCAATCTATTAATGCCCATTACTAGGTATAAATCTGTAACTAGACTAGTATAAATCTGTAACTAGACTAGTAAAAATACATATTTAAGAGCCTGATTCTGCAAACTTTAATTGGGTGATTACATGGAAATGATCTATCATGTGAATAAAATTAAACCCATCTTGTATATTTGCAAGATCAGGCTTTGGGGCTTGTAGGAGAACGTCAGGAGGAGATCCTCATTCCAATATTCATTGACTTCAGTGAAGCCAGGAATTCACCTATGCAATATATTTGCCTAACTAATTGGAACTTTTTTCCAAAGTAAAGCAGGTCATTTAAATAATATTTTGGTGCATTTGTTGGTTTTTTTTTTTTCTGTTATATAATGTGCTATCATGAATGACTGCTTTGTTTTTCTGGAATGTATTACTTCAATGACAGATGTCAGAAGAGCTGGCATTGCATCATAGAAAAGCTCAGGCAGATGAGAATATAATGCCTTGATTTTTTCCTGTCATGTACCAGTAGAAGCAGGCACTATACTCATTGGGTGGGTGGACGTGTGCATAAACTTGTGCTTGGGTCTCTAACTATAGCATAGCTGATCTGTACAAAACTTTTTTGTGGATTTAGGGAACATAAATCTTCCCAGGAAAGTCATGTTTTGTTCTGTCAGACCACCACACTAGCCCTCACTATCTGGCCATGTTTATTATTAGCTTAAAAAACCCCTACACGTACACTTTAGAAATAGCGATAAATTCCTCATGCATCTCTGGAAATAATCCCACAGAGGTACAATAGAGAATGCTGGCCTTCCTACAGTAATTCTGAAACAATCTGTAAAAGTCTATGTGGGGATGGTATTCGCTGGTGGGTACTATAGGTTCTTATCGTTCTTTATCTTAGTCCCATGGGCATTCTGTCAAGTTCAAAATATGAAATTCTATAGATTTCCTTCTTATCAGGAAAACAGTCTTTCAAGATCTTGCCTCAGCATTTTAATCCCACTTGGGTTCTAAATTGCCACTGTGACAATCATATTACCTTTACGTTTAAGACGTTTTCCACACTGAAGCCATGTTTTTGGAGGGGGGGGGAAAAAAAAGGCATCGGATTACTACTGTTCTTGTTTTAACAGCCACTCCCAGCATGTTCTTGTGAAATTAAATCTGTTATTTGTTAAAGATAATTAAGAAAAAAAACCCAAAACCCACATCAGTGTGCTGCAGTGAAGCTTCATTGGACTTGGGCTATTACAGAAGATTAGGCTGGGTTTTGTGCTAAATAAGGCTGAACATTTTCAAGCCAATTTTTTGGTTGGAACATCTTTTTGTAGGTCACAAGACCCTTGTAAAACCTGCTGACACGGTTCCAAGTCTTGCAGAAGAGCCTCGTTGCTTCAGTACTGAAACAGGCTCAAATGTTTCCTTGTTTGGTCATTGCCAGCTGTGGGCTCCTGCAGTCCATATAGGCAAAGGCTGTGCCACCAAAACTGAGCTGTCAGCTAAGCGTGGATTGAAAACTGGTGGTTTTTTCTGGTTTGCCTTTCAGGAAGAAAGAAAGGGGATTTTGCTGCAAGTTGATAGTTATGTTACTTGGAGTACGTTTACTCTTTGTAGAATTACCTAACAGAGGAGTTAAATCATCCCTGAGGTCTTGCACATAGCCTTGTAGTTCGCTGTGAATATCGGAGGAGTAAAATTAAGCAAATGAATTTTTATGAGCAAGCTACGCCATTTGTTTTGCGAAGTCTTAAGGGAAACATACTCATCTTGGTGGCGGACTGACAGAAAATGTTCCATATCTGCTCTCTTAAAATTTTGTAAAGTATAAAATAATCTGCTTTGAGGGGAGGGCAGTTCTCAAGGGCTAGAAGATGAACATTCAAAAATATATCTGGCATCTAAAGCCAAATCTTACTCACAGTAGATGATATTTGTAGAATCAAGGTCTGCCTCGAGGAATCCTGAAATAAGGGCTTCTAGCTTTGAATATTTGTATGATGCATTACACGCTTATATGGGGTTTTTGTACCGCAGACTAGTGTCTAAATAGAAAGCTAGTATAAAATGCCTAAAAAACAAAATAAGAAAAGGAAAGGTATTTTTTCTCAGAGATGACTATAATACTGTTATAATACATAACATGTATAAGCCTGAAACTACTAAGCAGGCAGGTCTTTTTTTTCTGAAGTCTTCTTTTGGGGAATTTAAAATATGTTCTTGTTAATGTTTATACTTTGGCTTTTATGGAGCAATTAGGAAACAGAAATTTTTAATTATGTTATCTGATTTCTGTCTATGTGAAGCTGTGTATTTTGATGCAATACTAGCAATGTATGTGTTACAAAGAACAAATAATTTAGGAGAAGAGCTGAAACAAAATATTGACTGAGAAAGAGCCTTAATGAAGTCCTTTGCGATGTTAATTTTTGTACTGTCTGAGTTTTGGCATTACACAACTGAAATAAGGAAATTAACAAACACTTCCTGTGTCTAAATCAATCAGTCCTGATGAAAATTCACTTGTTTGCAGTGAAATAAAACGTAATGGTATTCTAAATCATTACTAGTAATTTAGGTGTAAAGAAGTGCAACGTATCATTTTGAAGCCCACTGTATAATATGCCTATTATGAGCTTCAGAAAATAAGCTTATTTTTATTTCTAGTTCAAACAAAAGTTCCGGGAAATCCTATGGCCCACTTAGAAAAAGCAGAAAATGCACTGAACATCAACCAGTGTAATAAAAAAAGGAATCGCTTTAAGAACTATGCAGCAAAATTACTTGCGTGAATTAATGTATGTAATCAGTTAACGGTCTTAAACGTATATTGTGTCAGTTGGCTATGTTGTAAACTTGAAACCATTAGTATCTATATTTATGCTTTTTTTTTTATTGTAAAGAAGTGTGCTGTACAGGCAATGCCATGAGACATGAATTTGCATCTTGCTTTTCACTTATTTGCAGCTTAAAAGCAGATGTTGACAATCAAAGTGCTTTAAAATAATTTCCTGTTCTTCAAAACACAAACTTACATTGTAAATTGCATGTTTAAAAAAAAAAAAAAACACAAACCATACAAATGCTTTTTTTAAAGCAAAAAAGAAAAAAAAAAAGAAAATTCCCAGACTTTGATCTCTAGAACATTGGGTTTTTTCCGTAGTAATGCAACACATCGACTGTTGTGTTGCCATAGCATTCAGCTTACACTCTGCAGCACTCAAACATTTATTTGCTCTTTCTCTCATAACATCCACTGAATAAGTAATATAACAACAATGAATTTCAGCATGATACTCATGATCCAAGATTAAAAACTTGCATTTGCTCAAATAAACATGAAACTTAATACTTCAGAATAAGTAAAATAGAAGACACTTGTGAACCAATGTGAACCAATGTATCTCTATTGCAAGGAGCTGAAACATAAAGCATGGGGTTTGTGTGCTGACAGGGAGAAAGAGTTACGGCAGAAATCTGACTGTGATAATAGAGCGCCCTGGATCCGTGGGGTCTGGAGTGGTGAGATTTGGACCACACTGCTCTTACTTAGATCTCTAACTATTGGCAGTGGTGTTTTGTACTCTTTCCTTGCATGCAAAGTACTTTAAAAGTTTTCAGCACTTCTGTTTTGTTTATGAATGGTCTGACTTTAAAATTTCTAAAATCCCAGGTTACTTTGGT